AGAGTGCTGTGGCGTCAGCCTAGCTCACAGCAACCTCAAACTCCTGGGCTCAAGTGATCCTCCTGCCTCAGCCTCCCAAGTAGCTGGGACTACAGGCATGCGCCACCATGCCCGGCTAATTTTTTCTATTTATTTTTAGTTGGCTAATTAATTGCTTTCTATTTTTAGTAGAGACGGGGTCTCGCTCTTGCTCAGGCTGGTCTCGAATTCCTGACCTTGAGCGATCCTCCTGCCTTGGCCTCCCAGAGTGCTACAATTACAAGCGTGAGCCACCGCAGCCAGCCTTCCTTTTCCTTTTTTAAAAACCTTTCTGTGTTGCTTTCCTCTAACCTGGAACACAAACTCCAATGCTGACTGTTCATTCAGCATTGCTGCTAGGGTTGGAGTCCCCACTTGACTTCATTCCTTAAGCCTCATGGTCTTCTGTGTCATCTCTGCCCAGAGGGGAGTTGAATCCTCTGTTTTGGAGAATTCTAGAAGACTCTTCCCAGCTCCGTGCTCAGACCTCTCTGCTTCATCTCGATTCACTCCTGGTTCGGGCGATCCTCCCAGCCTCACATGCTTAAACACCATCTCCACGACAATGACTCCCAAATCTGCATCTGCCCCTGAAGTCCAGACCTATATATCCATCTGCTGATCCAGTACCTCCATTTAACAAGTCTAAAAACAAACCCTCGATTTTCCCCTCAAACCTGCTCCTCCCTCAGCCAACCCCATGCTTCCAGCTGCTCAGGCCAAAAACCTGATTTCATCCTTGGTTCTACTCTTTCTGTTACTCTGTGATCTAATCCACCAGCGAATCCTGTTGGCTCTATCTTCAAGGTACCCCTCCATCACCACCTTGGACCAATGTGCTATCATCTTTAATCTGGAGTCTTTCAATACTATCTCAATTGGTCTCTCTCTTTCAGCCACTGCCCTTCCATGGTTTGCCTTCAACTCGGCAGCCTAAGTGATCTTTCTAAGACATAAGTCAAATCCTATCACTGCTCTGCCCAGAATTGTCCCACGGCTTCCCATGTCATTCAATGTAAAAGCCAAAGCCCTTCAAATGACCTACAAGGCCTCCCTGGATCTGCCTTCCCACACTCAGCTTTCCAGCCTTATCACACACCTTCCTCCAGCCAAATTGGCCTCTTTGCAGTTTCCCCAACACAGAGAACACCATCCAGTCTCAGGTCTTTGCACCTGTGGAACACGCTTCCTCCCAACATGCACCTGGTTCAGGCCTTCTGCTCCCCCAGGTCTCTGCTCACGTGTCCACTCACCTGCGAGGCCTCTCCGGCCTCCCCCAGCACTCCCTGTGCCTCTTCCTTGATGACTTTTTCTCCATAGCACTTATCACCATCTGACGTGTTATACATGTTTTTCACTTGTTTAGTGTTTGTCTTGCCCACTAGAAGCAAGCTACATGGAGGTAGGGGTGTTTGTTTGTTTATTTGCTTTTTATCATCTTCATTCAGTAGTATTTTCGCACATGCCTTAGGCAGTGCCCGGCATGTGCTGGGCACTCGAAAATACTTCTTGAATGACAAATGATGAATAAAATTTCTCATATGTTTCAGAGTATGGACTAGCCTGATTTCTAAGCCATCAGCAAGCTGAAATATGCGATGCCTGCTAGTGAGTTACAACATGCTATTCCAAGAGGGAAGAGAATCTCAGATTAAAGAGTTATGAGGCTATGAGCTTATATTAACATGGAAAATTGAGGCAATTGTGGAATGTGTTGTCTCTTATATATGATATCGATACAGATATTGAGGCCTTTTTCCAGAGGGCATGGCCTGCCTACAGCTTGACCTCGTTCTGTACACACATTAGGATGCTCTTGGAAAAGGATTTCAGGACTAGAGATAGGGTCTGTGGAACAGAATTTTCCCCCAATGGACAGCCATATGGGCTAAGCAAGGATCGATTCTCTATTTGCTCTTTAAGCGAATATTCCAGACCAAACTGCAGCTAGAAATTTAAAGTGGAGGGCAGAACCAGCCCAACCTTTCCAATATTTTTGTATAAAATCCTTAGAAAGTTCAAGCAAGAACCCTTTTATACCAAATTTTTCAGATAAATGAACCCATCTTCTACTTTACTAAAACTTACAGAAGGGACCAATGCAAGTCTTTTATTAAAAGACTCAGAAGAAAAGAAATCAGATGAGAGCTAAAGATGTAGAATTAACAAGAAATAATCATCTGAATGTAGAACAAAAGGAAAGAAGGAGAAAACATTCAGGAATGATAAGATACGTGTTTTATAAGGACCTGTGTTCCTACTTTTTTTTTTTTTATTTCAGCATATTATGGGAGTACAAATGTTAAGGTTACGTGTATTGCCCATGCCTCCCCTTCCCCCTCAAGTCAGAGCTTCAAGCGTGACCATCCCCCAAATGTTGCTCGTTCCTACTTTTTAAGCAGAGAAAGAATGAATGAAGAACGAGTAGGGGGTGGCAGGATGCCAGGGATATTGACAGCTGGGAAAATGTGGTCACAGGGGCTGGTGAAAGTACATTGTCAGACTGGGAAGCATTGCTCCTACTTATCATTTCCCTGTGCCATGGCTTCCAGAGAGATGCCAGGGTGGAAGCCACCAACACAGCCCATTTTGCCGCTGGCTGCGTCACTGTGCCTTAGGCTTCAAGAGGATGCTCACTCTGAGGTAGTCACAGCCACTGAGGCTGAATTTGGCCCCTCTGGTTTGCACAAGGCAAAGGAAGAGTAAGCCTCAACAGTCTGAAAGTGACTGTCCAGCTTCCAGTGCTCGCCAGTGAGGTGGGAGGGTGAGACGGTGGTGTCCGGAGAGGCTGGCCCCAAACCATGGGAGAGGCTGGCTGCGGGATGCCCCCACCCACACACGCATCATGAAGTCATCACATGGCTCTGAGCAACATTTAAAACGGGAGAAAACACATATTTCCACAGCTGTGCTCGTCCTCTTTCTTAACACTGCTCGCCTAATTAATTTTAATTTTTAAAATGTCATTATTTACACTCTTTCTCAAGCCAGAAGAAATTGAAAGTAACTCATAAAACACGTATATCATGGAAATGTTTTTTTTTTAAAATTAAAAATCAGAACCAGAGAAAATACAAACTAGAACTGAAAGTCTAGTCTAGACACAGTGTTCTAAAAAGTTCTCCACGTTTAGCAGTGAACTCGGCTTTGTGTTAACCTAGCAGTCAAAGCGAAAAGAGAAACAGAATCAGTTACGCGACTCTCGAGTCTACGAGGAGAAAATATTTCGGTTCCTCAAGGGAAGCAAACCATTTCCTGGAATTCAGATCTGCAAGAATTTCCTCACACAGAGCTTCATATAGGAAGCCATGAATAATGTAATGGAGACTATCGAAAGCCACACCCCTACCGTGGGCTTCATGAAACTGCTCTTGGTAAAACATCTCTAGGAAAATCCAGGGAATACACTTCAATGAAAACTGTAACTATTCTATCAGAAATGAAGACAGTAGGGACCAAGTACACATCTTCCTTTATGGTTCAGTTTTATCTAAGAAGCCATGTTAACTATCTCAAGAAATGAATGGACTTAATCCCTCAAACAGTCTTGTACATACACACATCTACAAAAGGAACTAAAGTTATTGCTCAACCGGAAGAAATTTACTGTGCCAGACTTTCTTTCTCTCCCTCACCATTTTCATGGGGCTTTTAAAGAATAATCTACTATTGCAATGAAATATAGAATACATGTCTTCTATTTTTATTGTGTCGATTTTTTTAAGGTGCTCACAACTTTATTATTTGCCTGGTAATAATTACTATATAAGTGTTTTAAAAAAGAAAAAGGACAGACACTTCCTATCATTTGGCAGGGAAGTGGGGTAGAGAGTCAGGCACAAATGAAAAATTAATTACAAATACATAAAACGAGTGGATTGAGATAGCATGCCCATCTTGTAAGTGTCAGTTATTTTTGTGATTTTTCTTAAAGCAGCACAGTTGAACACAAGCCCTTGACCATTATGATATGAGAATGTGACATGAAAAATCTAGTAGGGGGGGATTATTATAATTTCTCAAAGAGGAGGACTCAAAGCCTTTGAAACACTCAGAGAAATATCAGAGGCTTTGAAAATTTCTTGTCTGGATGGAACAGCTGGAACAGCAGAATTCATTATTACCTAGCTGGTCTTCCTTTTCAATCACCTTTTGCATGTTAAGTTTCAGTTCACAGACTGTGTCTAATTTATTGTTTAGTACATCAAGAATGGCATTCAAGAATGATCTGTCATAACAAGGGAAAAAATACTAAAAGGCATCCTTCTTACATTTACTTATGACCCCATCTCCTTTCCTTAATCTGTAAAGTGGTTTTAAAATTCCAACGCAACACTACGATAAAAACTGAATGTATTCTGAAGGGTTTCATAAAGTGAATTTCCTACATTTTTAAGAACAAATGATCCACATTTATAGTTAACCTATTTGTCTCAGCAACAACAGATGTTCAGTAATATGACAAGGGAATATAACCAGGAAGTAATTATGAATTTGGTGGAGAATGACCAGGAAGATCATCGAAAACAGACAGTTACAACCTGGGCCAAAATCACATGAACTCCCCTCTCCTCCCACTCCCATGACTCTCCTGTTCTCTTTGGCTCCTGTCTTCTGCACTCGCTGCCCACGGAAGGCTTGCTGTTAAATACTTCGCAAAATGAAACAACTGGTAAAGAAAAAGTCCGTGAGTTTATCTGACTCAAATTCAAGAATCAGATAACTTTCTCTTTTTTTTTTTTTTGCTTGAATTTCATATTTCAGGTACCTAGTTTGCCCATGATTCATCTAGGTTTGGATTCTACCACAATGGGGGATCATCAGTTTTTTTTAAACGTGAGACAAACACTCACAAATGGATAAAATACTGTTTCAAGGCCACATCGACACCCTCTGCAGGGCCACCTCGTTTCCGCGTGGAAGTTTCTAGCAGGTGATAGAGAGGCACGTGTCAAAGTATCCGTCCGTCCCAACAAACCTACCCGCTTGCTGCTCTCCTCCTCCTGAGCCTTCCTGAACTCGTGCTCCAGGGAGCAGTCCAGCTCATTGAAGAGGCCCACCTCCTCGCAGTTCTTTAGGAATCTCGTCGGGGTCGGAGTCTGGTCTGAAAACATAGACCAAGTGATCACAGATGGGTCTTTTCCTCAAAAGTGAGTGACAAAAATAAATAAATAAATAAATAAATAAATAAAAAGTGAGTGACAAGCATGAGCTACATTCACAAAGCCTGTCCCCTCCCCTTAATTAAGATGCCTTACTAGCCACTCACAGTCTCTCAGCCCTTTAAATACCGGGACCATATGCAAGAAAATAAAACCATAAACTTCGCAGAAGGAACATGATAGAGAGAAAGCTACAGTATGTGAGGGCTTGCCAAAGCTCTCTCTGGACAACTTCAGGAGATCCTGCCTTCCACCTCCCTGGAGTCTACATCATTTGAATATACATTGCAACCTGGAGAATGCCCTTTTCTTTCTTTTAAACTGAAAAAAAAAATAAAAAAAGATTTAGCTAAAATCAGGCCCTCCAAAAATCTTCTGAGCCAATGTTAAGCCTGACTTCAGGGAAGCTGGAAGGAAAAAAAGATTTTGTAAATTTTTATGTCAAACAAAAAGAAACAAACAGGCATGTTATTTCCATTTTGTTAATGGAGAAAGAAAATTTAACAAATTCTATCTCTCATTCTGAGAATCATAGAAATATGATAAAAGGTTCCAAGTCAAACACATTCAGCTTTCATCCTTTAAAAATGTCATTATTAATTTTATTTTCCTTTGCTATAGCCAAAAGAATGTTCTGAGAATGCTCTTTAAAAGGAAAAGAATTTCTTTCATATTCTTGACTTTCTAGAGAACTCAGTATTTAGAGAACTGAAAGAGCTGAAGGCATTATTTGTGGCTTAATATTATATTTATGCAGCCTTTGCAGTTTACAAAATATTTTCACACGCATTTTCTAGAATCTAGATCTCACAAGATCCTAGAAGGTGAGTGGGGTAGAATTACACCTTTGTAGTCAGTAAGGACATGTCATCTTCCCTGGGGAAGGTGCACTTGAGTTGACATGAATAAAATTGTGTAAAATGCCCTTTCTCGGAAGATATAAGAACCTGAAAGGACCATGGCGTAAGTTTCACCATGCTGATTTTTTTGCACATAGTTGAAAACTGAGGCCGAGAGTGATTAACAGTCTTGCTCAAGGTCTGCCAAGTAGATGGTGGCAATGTCAGGATTATAACCAAGGCCTCAGTGCTGTTCCCACTCCATACTGTGTTATTCCCACTAAGCCTGTGGTAGACACTGCTGGGTTAACTATGGCATTGACCTACACTCGGCCTCACAATTTCTTCCTCTGCAGCTCTCTAAGCCATCATGACTGGTCAACTGAAGAGTTTCCTCAAGTTGAAAACAATTTGCCATTCCTGCACTCTATTTATAAATTCCTATAAGAAACTAGAATTTTATGTACTTTTCTAAGTCATATAGAGAGTAGTTAATCCCAGTAAATCAGTAAACTATCCACCGAGATTCAAAGAATATCTTAACATACATGAGCAGAAAGTGACTTGGTGTCCCCATCTTCAGAGGCAATGTCTCTGGATTCCCTATGGGTAAGGGACTTTCGGCACCCAGATGGCTGACTTGGATTCCCACATAGCAAAATCCCCATCTGCATTTTTTTCCCACTGTTAGCTTGATCTCCAAGATATTGAGCTCTCTTTGCAGTCCACAGACAGCCTACCTCAGACGATCAGAAATTGGGCATTACAGGTAAGAGATATGTGAAAGATTGGGTTTTGTTGCTAGCATATTAATTAATTTATTAAGATACACACATACACACCTGTACATCCCATATATACATATACCTTTGTGTGTTTAAAGAAGACAAAATTAATATTTATGCAGGATTTTATAATTAACAAACATTGTCACCCACATGATCTAGAACCTAGGTCTCACATGATTCTATGAGGTAAGCAGAGTAGGTATTATTTTAGAAATGAAGAAATAAGCTTCCTTGCACAAGGCCACACGATTTATAACCACCTTATCACTAAGTCCTCTCTCACCTTCAGACATGATCACCTTACAATCTAAATCCCATGCTTGGCCCTGCCAGATCCAAAGGGCTCTGTCGTGTGCGCAAAAGACAATTTTGACAACTCAGAAATATATATTTGAAAATAGTGAGACTTTAGGGAAGTTCTGTGCTTGATATTACTCATCTTTCAAATAAAGCTCTAAAGTTTTATGATTCCATAAATCCTAAAATCACCACCATAATGGATTAGCTTCAAAAGTTACTGTTCGTAGGCAAAAGAAATATATGACTATTTAAAGGACAGTCAAATGGGAACATGAGTAATAGTTGGAAGTTGGACACATAGTTAGGTCAGAGGTAAGGGCTACATACACAGATAAAGGAGTTTTTTGAACAGAATGTCTAAGTAGACAAGATTTGAGAATGAAAATAAAAGAGTATGTGTATGTGTGTGTGTGTGTACATATTCTTTCATTTATTGGGTGCTTACAGGATGTCAGGCTTGGTGGTAAGTGCTTTGCATATACTATCTCATTAATTTTCATAGCAACTATATTAAGTAAAAATTGCTTTTCCCATTTTACTTATGAGGAAACTGAGGCTTGCTCAGGTCCAATTTGGAAATTGAATCACATCATTTTAATGGCAATTGATAATCCTAACAACCCTTGGTTCTTTTGAAATATCTTGGAATCATTTATATCCCTGATATGATAGAACTGCATTACAATCCTACCAACTCTCTACTATCTTACAGGAACACTTTCACTATTTAAAAACCTGAAAAAAAAATCACATAAAAGAATTAAAATATTAGACCACTTGTTATCAGCAGGAATTGAGTTTACCAGGTTTCAATTTTCTTTTTATCCTTCTGTGCTTTTTTGTCTTTTTGGCGATTGAGAAGTTGAGGGCCATGATTCAAGGTAGAGGGTATAGTCATCCTAGCACCCTCCATAAGACTCCTGAACTCTAAGATAAGATGGTCTATGAAACTGAATTGAGACTAGCATGTAAGAGGCCGATCCCCAAAGTTGAGAGATGTTTTTCGTCTGTTCTAAATAAAATTATTCCCAGATAGCAGCACCCATCTACATCTATGAACAAAGGAGCTTGCAGGATGGCACAGGGATAGCAATGACACCGACCATTGTCACGGACCTCTTCAACAGGGAAACAAAAAAGCTCTGGGACCAGGGAAGCCATGGGCAGCAAACACTGTTACTTCCCTCCCACCCCCAGAGCATAAGGGCAAGAAGAAAGCCCTAGGGCTGTTACCTAATGTGATTTGCTTTACTGTATGATATAGTTCAAGAAAAGCAAAGTATATACCTATATATACACATTTGGAATAGATAAGGCACACTATCCCTAATTTTTAATTCATTTTTCTTTTGGTGAATGAGCGATTCTTTCCAGTTACAACAGGAACCAGAAAATGGAGCTTAACTTTTGTTCTAACATTTATTAGAATTAATACAGGGTCTCCAGTTGTCTTTGATCTCACATGGTACCAGTTCCAAGTAAGCCAGGAAATGTGCAAATGTTCAAAAAGGGGACGGCTAAGTCTATCAACTGCTTAAATAACAGAGGCAGAATTTCTCAGCCACATGAACACATTGTCAAATAACTATTCCTGCTGAAATTAGACCTGGAGTTAGTGGGTAATACCCATGGCCATAAATTAAAATTCCTATAAATTACGCCTTATTTAGAGCCAAGAGCATACACCAATTAGTTATGGCACCAGCAATTTCTATATCCTGTATAATAATGGCTGATGCTCTGTTGTGGATAATATCTATGGTGTGTTCATTCAGTAGTGAGAGGAGGTACTCTGAGGACTTACAGGAACTGGTTTTCAAGAAGAACTCAGAGCTGAGATGATTGTTTAAGGTCTTCTACTCACCTTTCTTTTAGCGCTTCGACTTCAGTGAGGACCATCTGAATGAAAGAAGGGGATAACCCCAAATTTCAAACTAAACTTAAATAAAAATAACTTTTGAGTTTGAATTTTACCGGAGTTGAAAGTTTTTAATTGTTATTCCTTTTGTAAATCTGAACTAGCTCTGCATAAACACCTGCATGTTACCCTCTTGCAGAGAGTGTGCAAATGGCATGCCAGGTTCCTGGGAGACCCACACACCTGGGGCAAGTGCCAGTAGGAATCTTCCCCACTTCTACTGTTTTGCATGTCCTCCAGGGTTTCTTTTTTTTTTTTTTTTCAGCAGATGCTAGGGATACAAATGTTAAGGTTATGGAGTTCTTCACTAGACAAAAAGGATTGGCACCAAAAGGGATAAAAAAAATTCCGTTGCAACATTTGTCATATTTCAGTAGCTGGTTCTTTTGCTAGGCCTGTTTCCTGAAAAAAAGGAGTGCCTTTCATGGAATCACTGCCTCTGTAAATAGCTAGGCAAAGCATACCTGCCATGTTGAGACTCAACTCATTTATCTACCCAGAAGAATGCCAACAACTTGGCCTTATGATTTAGGAATTCACCCATCAGTTGTATGATAGGAAATTTTATCACATAACCACATTATCAGCTGGGCAGATGATGAGTATATGGCTAAAACTTTTTTTTTAAAGGAACTCGCAAAGTTTCCCATCAGTTTATAGTCTGCCTAGCATCAACTGCTTCAGCCCCAGTAAGTACGATTATTCCAACATAAAACTAAATGACAAACACAAAGCTAAATTTCGAAACCCAATTCTTCTTTTAAAAAGTGTTTAGTCTATTCTACATTTAATAATAGGTTGCTCCCTTATTCAGTTTCAGAGCTACATTTGAGTTATATGTGTGTCTATGTTTCCTTTTCCTCCATGGTGAAAAAGGCAAGTCCACAAGTCATCAATTAAAAAAAATAAAGGAAAAACAGAGGCACTCATCCTGTACCAGAGAAGAGTGTTAACTTCCTAAGCAAAAATTTCTTTCCTATTGGTCTGATATTCTCAATTACAGTATCACTAAAGGACTATATAAAGTAACTTTATAGCATGTGGTATGAAATTGATAATGGCTAGAAATACTATAAAAGCCTCACTAATTCAGACTA